ATATATATATATATATATATATATATATATATTAGTTAGTTTATGAAAACTAGGTAATCCGTATGGGTAAACCTAAGGAGGATAAAATCCAGAGCTCAATGTAAATCCAGAGCAAATAATTTAAATAAAACAGACATCTTCTCAAAAAGAAAATTAGTGACATCCTCTCTTCTCTTCTCTCTTAACTTCCTTCTCTTTTTTTTCTCTATGGGTTTTTTCTTCACTACCCTTCTTCGATTTCAGTATATAACTTCCGTTAAGTTAACCGTTTAAATGTGTCAATATCTGCTAACTCACTCATGTCTTCTCTCTCCCTCCTCACTTCCCACTTCATTAATTTACATATGTTTAATACGGCCCGTCAAAATGTGTAAATTTTCTTTTCATTTTTTTTTGGAGTAAAGTCTGATGATCCGCAGTCCTTTAAAAGGGCTGTGGTGAAATAATTTATTACATGGAAATTTAAATTATATATATATATATATATATATATATATATATATATATATATATATATATATTCAATTGCTGTTATATGAAGACTTATGGTTATTTATTTAAATTTTTTTATGTTTATGTTCTATTGCTATTTACTTTGTTAATTAATCCAAGCATACTTCCTCCTTACACAACATTCATTCATACATATATATATATATATATATATATATATATATATATATATATATATATATATTATAAATATATTACATACGTACCAACAAGTACTGACGACAAACATCTCTCTTTCGATGCGAACGCTTCTCGACAGATGAGGAACAAAGATGTCTATAAACGATTCTACGATTCAATTTAAAGATATTTTTTTTTGAATAGAATCGTTTGTAACTATCTTTGTTCTTTACATGTCAAGATGCCTTCGCATCGAAACAAAAAATGCATCTTTGGCGTGAGTACTTGTTTGTCCGTATCTAACATTTTTATAATAAATAATTATTGGTCTACTCTTGCCATTGAGTTCCTCTTTTAAATTAATGCTACGAACTTTTGAATTTTTCGCTGTCGTTTCACACACACACACACACACACACACACACACACACACACACACACACACACAAATATATATATATATATAGGAGTTGTGAAGATTGTGTAGTGTCAATCAAATGCAGTTTACCGGAAAATCTGTTGTCAAAATCTCTTTTTTTTTATTGGTTCGAACACCAATCACTGGATGTGGTGGGAAAAATGTATTTCTTCATTCTCTAGGCTTTTTTTCTTTTTTGATTGTTAGATTTTAGTTCGTATGTGTACCGACATTCTCATATCCAGTAAAAGATTCCTATATACGCTTTACATATATAATCTCCACAAATGTCTACACACGCACACACACACACACACATAAATAAATATATATATATATATATATATATATATATATATATATATATATATATATATTAATCATGAGCCACTTATACGATATTCCTTTACAGATTATATCTTTGGATTAATTCCCGTCTTCCTTCGGTGAACGCGTTTTAGAACGGAGCTTAACAAGCAAACACAGAGAATAATATTAAACAAAGCAAGCGGACTAAAAAGAAACCAACATGCTGTTTGTCTCTTTCATAAAGCTGACTATTTTACAAAGATCTTATCCCATAGAAAGATTATTGAAAGTCACTGATGTGATTTTTGATTCATTCTTTTTCTCTGTTAACTTTTTTTTTCGTTTTACCCTCCCGCCTATTCTTTTGCTTTCGATTTATAAAAAAAAAGCCGTAAAAGCTTCACGACCATCAGCATCACCAATAATGATAATAAAAAAAATGCCGTATTCTTTCAATATGTATGTGATCATGAAACTCCATAGAGTCTATTTTCTTTATTATCTTCAAATATTCATGCTTTCTAGGGGAATATAGTGGTCTCCCGTCACGTTTTGCACGGCTGAATTTCACAATATTTCTTCTTTTAGACTGTTTGTCAACCAAGGGTAGAGATTCCTGCCTACCTTCCTATTTAGACCATAGCAGAAGATAAGGATCCACGCTAATGACGAAAATGTGCGAAAATGAACGCATCAGGTTAAGCTCGAATTCGAACTCCTCTCGTCGATTCCAGTTTCCGTGCCAATAATCGTTACGCTGGCCGTCATCCTAATAATAATAATAATAATAATAATAATAACAATAATAATAATAATAATAATAATAATAATAATAACAATAATAATAATAATGATAATAATCAAAGCTAATCGCTCAGGCATCGTGATTAGAAAACGCAAAAACAAAATGTGCCTTCTTATTGATATGGTTGTCCTTGCAGACTGCAATGTATCTTTGAGGATCTTTAAAAAAAACTATCAAAATACAAGGACTTCGAAACTGAAATCTCAAACATGTGGAACACGAGGACATCAAAATTCCAATTGTAGTTGGAACCCTCGGATTGATTGCAAAAGCTTCCAATAGACTTATTGAAGGAATTCCTGGTAGCCCAAGCCTTAAAAATATTACAAAAAAACATTGGTCTTACAAGTACAACCCACACCTTATAGATGGCTTTATCTATGTAAAACACGTGGGGTTTGTTTTTCAAAAGTGCCATTTCCATTTCCAACCTTAGGTCTCTGGTCGGGGCACGGAAAGAAATGAGTATACACCAGAAAGCAAAGGAAATAAAAATAACAACAATAATAAAGCATTTAACTCATTCAAGATTGTCTTTTTGCGTGTCCCAAGACCGTTTAAAGGGGAGGATAAAAAGTAAAGAGGAGCCGAACTAATGTTAGATAAAGACAATAGGAAATGTGTTCTACGATACTGGTAATTGCCTTTCAGAAACTAAGTCAGGTATTCAGAGATAGAAAAATGCTGTAAGAAACAGAGTACTGAGTTGTTATGTAATATGTACTCTATTATATAGCAGTGTATTCGAGGCAGTCGCCTGGCAGATGAAGAAGAGGTATTAAGCGAAAGGGAATGTGGATTTATCGGTGAATACTGAGGATATCATGGTCAGAACATGTGATCAACAAGAAGATTTAAAGTGAAAAAAGGATCTACAACGAAACTGTTACTTAAAATCAGAAAAGGAACAGCTGAAATTACTTG